AATCTTTATTTTGCTGTTTTAAAACCATGGTTACCATTTCTGTAATTTCTCCAGTGCCTTGCTGCTCTTTTCATTTAAGGAACTTTTGATACACTTTCTGATTTCCTCTTTTCTGGAAGCAAGTTTTGTCGTTGGAATCTTGCATGATTTTGCAATTTTTCGATAATTTTAGTTTGTTTAAAATAAACAAACACCGTCGCCAGAGTCACATACTACACACACACACCTGATATTGTAACCTAAATTCTAAGCATATAAAATTTTTATTTGGTCGCTGTCAGTTCTGACGTTTCTCGAATGTGAACTTTGAATCACCAATTTTTTCACAATTTGGGACTTGGGGTTGTCAAAATTAAATAAAAGTTTGTATTACACTCGCGGTTAAAATGAATGTGTAACTCGCGGTCTTAAGGCGCTCGCGGCATACGCCGCTCTCGCCTTAAACTGACCGCTCATTAAACATTCACTTTAACCGCTTGTATAATAAATAACTATTGTTCGTTACTTAAGTGTATTAATGGTATGTTTTATGGTGGTCGAAAGGACGTTATCCTATTATTTTTCATCGTGAGTTTGCATTTAAGTGTTTAAAGCGATAGAGATGTGTGTCAATATGTAGATAACTCAAATTAATTTATGCATTAAACCTTTTCCTGAACTTATTCTTCAAGAAGGAACTGTGTTTTGTTGTGCTTGCTCTAATCCGATAAGTATTTTTACATCTGTGGACGCAGTACGCAGTTTTTCTATTTACAAATACATACTTTAGAATCACCGGAACAATTTTTGTTAGAATATTTCGAAAAATATTTAAAAATAAATTGTTACCAAAATAGTAATTAAATAGTCGATTACTACTATTTTTTAATTCGTTCTGTTTACCTATATTTATTTTTGAGTATAAGAATATTATCTTAAAAAATGTCATTTATTTGTCAGTGAGATCTAATTAAATACTTTGCAATGTGATTTATGTATTTTTTGTAATAAAAGGTAAGGTGTTTTTGCAATTTGTAAATAAATTTTGTTCGGTTATTACGCTTTTTTTTATTTTTGGAGCATATGCAACTGCATATCTCTGCATATATTAAGAAAGTTATTGCATATTTGCATAAATTTGATGCATGTCATATGATCATATTTCCCAAAATTTTGCTGCATATTTTCCGCTCTCTTCTTATTATACATACACTCTATTACCGACATTAAAAAAAGTCTACACTATTTCGTCATATCTGCTGCTTTATTATCAGTTTTCAGTTAGTTACATATTGGATATGAAATTAAGTGAATTTTTTTAATAAATAATAATTTAAAGATCAACCACGAAAATACTCAATTATAATTATACATTATACATTACCAGTTTATTTTAGAGCCCAAGATTACATTGGAAAAATCTAAACTTTTGAAAATTTAATGTTAAACAGATATACCTATAACTGAGTGCGAAAGTCAATACACAAAACTCGATGATCAATTATTGTTTCGTATTGAAATTATTATTTGTTTTCCTTACGATCAAAGTGAAGAAATTATTTAATTCATTTTTATTTAAGAACGATATCGCTAACCTTGAAATAGATTAGTTTTTTAATTTCGATTTTTTTCTTTTTGTTTCTTTTGTTGCCGATCAACATATTTTGCATTAGAATTAATAAAATAAGGAAATATATCATTTTATTTTTCGAGCTCATTTCAAAATTCTGTATATGTATAATTGTTCCTTTTTGGCAGTGACGTATAGGCAGAGGTTAAAAAATAATGTCTCATTACTAGTCTTAATTCGTATTACCTGTAGATGGGACATTTTTTAATTCTGATCATAAACTATGTGCATTAAGTCTCTTGTTCTGTTTTATAAAGCGCAGGTTGTTATGGACATATAAAAATAAAATTATAAATAAATATAATTACAGGAAATATAATATGAAAAAAAAAATTAAGAGCAACTCACTATTGGCGTCATCTCGCTTGTGCAAGATTTAAGACAGGGGGAAGAAATTTCTTTTTTTAAGACTCAGCATCTTTTGTTTATGAATATGCTATTTACTTGCAACACAAACATAAATAATAAATATAAAATAGAGCTATATAATACTCGATATGTATGTTTTTAAATATTTTTTGCTGTTGCCCTGTCAGAAACGTTAATTTTTGATTTAACATGCCATTTTGTAAAATCAACTGAAAAACACTTTGCATAATTAACTAATAAAAATAAAACATTCCGAAGAATGTATATGTATATATTAATCAGATATCTAGTAACGACAGTTAACATTACTTATTGGTTACATACTCCATTGTGATGTTACAAGGCTTACCTGCCAACTATATCGCTGCTACACAATAATGAGATATCTAGTAAATGCAGTTAACATTAGGTGTTAGTTACATAACAAGAGTACCACAGTGTGATGTTTAAATGTTTATATGCAAGCTATATCGCTGCGACATAATAATGAGATATCTAGTAAATGCAGTCAACATTACGTGTTTGTTACATAGCATGAGTACTCCATTGTGATGTTATATAGCTTACGTTCCAGGTATATCGTTAAGACATAATCATGCGATGTACTTATTGTTCTTTTGTGAGTACGTACCTGTCACGTCAACATCACAACTGTGTTTACTGGGATTCAGAGAGACACAAAGAGAGACGAAGGAGTCAAATTTATAACACCCCTCTTTTTCAGTCGGGGGTTAAGAACAAAATTTAGTTTTGCGAATTTTGTATTTTCAAGATAATCGCTATAAATTAAAATAAAGATAAGTATAAACTGTTAAGTTATAGGTAAATGAGCATGTTATGCATATGTTTCCCATAGTTCCTCGTCATAAAATTTTGCGATAACGTCACCAACTTTTTCGGAAAAATGAAGTGAGCGGTTTTTTATTTAATCAAATAAATATTTTGCTTCATTCATCATATGTATATATAAACCACAGCCGTAGACTCTGTAGATTTGTCAACAGACAAATTTTGGTTACTGTTTACCATGTACCTACACGATATTTCTAAAATACTTCCAAAATTCTATGTCCAGTAGCTTTGGAGATTATTTGTATAATAAAATCACTAACAGACGACAGACAGATGGAAACGAGGACCTACTTTTAATCCTCTAGGAATTATAAAACTTAGGAGAAACATAAAAATACAGAGAAATCAGACGGACACAGAAACGAAATAGCACTTACTAAAGGGAACTAAGTACGCTACACTTTAGAAAGGAGAAACAAGATTACTGACAATACTTAAAAAAAACTCGATAAAAATGAGACAAAAAAAGTATATACAACAAAGTTAACAGATTCTTCGAATGACAAACGAAAATTTGTACAGAACAGATAAAAGCAAACTCAACACCGACAATTTCAGCCCTCTGTCAACGCGTTTCGATCACCCGCTCGAACTAGGCTAATACTAGACTAAAGTCAATTGGACAGGAATTCAATTAAACTTCAGGGCAGACTGGAAAACAGGTCAAGAAATTGTTTTTATTTTTAACCCACAAAGGCAGAATAAACACAAAAATAATATTTAACCTAACAAACAATAAACAAACTCTCTTTCATAGACTTAGAAGATTATAGAATCTCTGTAAATCAAACAATAAAAATTTTCAACACAACTTTAAAAGTCGTATGCCGACAGATATTAACACTAATTCTGAAGTAAAAAAAAAACATATTCATATTCCTTTCAATCTTATAAAAAAGTTACTTCAAAATAAAACGTCGACCTCAGTAAGTGAAACCAAAGTAATTTACAAGCTTCAGTCTGGACTTCAAAGAAACAAAAACACCTAGCAGGCAAACGATCAATGGACAAAAAAACTTTCGATAACAAAAAACAATGCGGCTGTCTGTGATCGAATAACACAATAAACCATAGAAAGCTCCCCACAGCGAGCTAAAATAAACAAAGCAGTCTAGCCAAGCCGGTAAGAATTTCACAAGGGTCTGTTCTTAACCACTTCGTAATGTTTATTAATGATGTGGTAAGTAAAAATGTTTAAAATTATCTTTACCATCTCTGATAGTATACTAGTTACTAATACAATGAAATTTACCCAGAATTAGCAGAAAAAATGTAATTGTCCAAAGTATAATGTCTTTATAGACAATCAAAAATAATAATAATACAAACGAACTATCAACAACAAACGAAAGTTATCTTATTTAATTATACAGAACATATCATACATATGTATTTGAGAGCGACCTATGTGTAGATACATGAAACTGATAAAAATGTACGAGATCGATTATTCGTTTATTCGTAATATTGTTATCAACATGAATGTCATATTTACGAAAATTATCAATACATTACTCCGGTTTAAAACAAGAGCGCAACAGTATTCTGCGAAAAAAAAACGTTCAAATTAATATTCCCCCATAAAAGTCTTTTTAACATACAAATTCCGACCTTTATCAACACGCTCAGTAGATATTTGTGTCCCAGGCCCGCTGTTATTTCACCAGTTTACTGCTATTATTGTAAATTTATAACATTACAGAAGATTCCAATCTCCATCCATAACCTAATGCTCGTAATTGTGTTGTTCTGCTTTTATATGTATCGTCCATACAGAGGATTTCCATCTGATAACGCAAATGTGTTAGTAAAGCAAACGCAACACATTTACCTCTAAATTGAGTTGCCATGCTTCTACAAATTAAACATTTTAGAACGAAGTCTCTCCGAAAATCTTACGAGCAATTTCCGTATCGCATCTCTCTAGTTCACAACAAAGAACCATCTGTTATATTTCAAAAGTTTCATTATCGAACTATTTCCTGGAATTTAAAAGAAGTTACGCCTCAAATCTTTTCAAACGTAGGTATATATTTAAAAGCACTGACTTTCAACTACGCGTTATTGAAATTTTAACCGGAACCTGTTTGAACTAAAGCTTTTTAAAGTTGCACTGTAACCTACTTGTTCTGTTTGAGAAAGCTTTTTACGTACAATTTATGTTTTTCAGGATTGGACTCTGCAAATCAGATATGTACAAAATAGGGACGCTGGCTTGTACGAATGCCAAGTGTCTTCGCATCCGCCCACTAGCATTTTTATTCACCTTAATGTCGTTGGTAAGTAATCCGTAGTTTGCATCAATAAACTCTGTTAGGTTAAAAAAAAAAACGATGGATACAATGTAGCAATTTTGTCACCTAAACACCTCTTCACTAAAATTTCTTGTTAGTCGATTTCCTAATAAATAACTTAAAAAAAACAAATATGCATCCATATTTAATATAAACACAACATATATAATATGGCGAATTATAAATCAGTCTGCACACAGTCAGCTGGGCAAAAAATGTAAAGCGGTTTACTAGAGAATTTTTTACAGAGTAATAAATTATTATCGGGATTGTAGAATAGGTTTAGAAAAGGCAAACCAACTAATACAGCTTTAACTGAAGTTATAAATTTTGTTCATGATGCACTAAATAATAAAGAAAAAGTAGTGGCACTTTTTTATGACCAAAAACGTGCGTTAGATACTATAAATTATGAATTATTTCTGGATAAATAAAAGAGAACGGGAATTCGAGGTGTAGCGAATAAATGGATTGCGTTTTAGTTACAGAATCGGATGTAGGTACGAGTAGTTTCAACTGGTGAAAAAACTTCTTCCGAAAGAAATATTTTACTGGATGTTCCTCAAGGATTTTTGCTAAGACCGGTATTACTTATTATTCTTCTAAATGACGACTGACGTTTGCTTACACCATACTCAAAAGAAGAATTTATTGTAGGAAAAAAGGTTTAAAGTTAAGTTATAAAAAACTTGCTACATGAATTGTGTCAAAAATTATATATTTTTACGCTTGGCGAATTCCTCTATATCGCTCAGTAAGTAAACAAAATTTCTAAGTGTAGATAATAATAGAACCAAAAGTAACTTAAAACGGTCATATTCATAAGTTGTGAGAAATAATTACGCATCCACGATGCATATTTGTTTTGTACAGAATACAACAACAAAGCATACGTAAAATTTAGACAACCGGAAATAAGATCGAAGTACAAAATCAAACTAAAACGATCGAAACACATTGAATCGAATATCGAAAGATCGAATCACATCAGATCGAAAAGCAAACATTCGGAACTGTAGTATATCGTTTTTCTACAAATCTACAAAATCTCAAAACACAAAATCATATTAAATCGGATACCAAAAGATCGAAACAATACATTTATTTTTCAAAAAAACCAATAACGTATTTTGTGGGACATGTACCAAAATCCAAATTTTTCAACAGATTACAGAAAACGAGTAGATAGAAATTCTCCCCCCAGTAAACAAACTACTTACAAGTTCTACATAATGTAAATTTTTCCGACAGAAATGAGAATCCTAAAAACATAAAACAATTATGTTCCCTTTAAAGTAGAAACTAAAAATAATTCAACTAGTAAACTTTCGAAATAACATTGTTTGCTAACATTGATTATAACCCTTAAGCATATGCGGAACAACTAACTCCATTTAAACGCATTCTAAACGTTTTACTAACTTACACTAAGCAGATATTCACCGCATCCTCGAAACGTATAACGTTTAAAACATCCGTAATGACCCAACCACTACTTAGACAAAAAATGTGACTTTGATGCCAAGCTGTGCTCGCTTCCATTGTTTCATGTTTATTATTTTAATTGTTTCTTTTGGTTGTAAAATAAGTGCCTATCTAATTACCCGCTTTGACCTTTAATTCGCCACTTTGCAGCAGACATTATTAAGGACATATCTCATTTCAGAGGCGCGCGCTGAAATTCAGGGACCCTCAGAAAAATACCTGAAGCCTGGTTCAGGTTTACGGCTCCAATGTAGCGTTCTACAAAGCACAGAACTTCCAACCTATGTGTTCTGGTATCACAACAATCGGATGATCAACTACGACGTCGATCGAGGAATTAACGTCACGACAACTCTTTCAGAGAAAACCAGCATTTTAACAATAACAAGTGCTGCTACACACCATTCCGGAAACTACTCCTGTGTTCCTAGCAATGCTCAGCCTGCAAGTACATACGTGCACATATTAAACGGTAAATATACACCTAGAATCATTTTGTAATTATTAATATGTGTGTCTTTAATTTTGTATTTTAATAATGCATTATGCAACGTGTAAGAATGTTATAGTTATTTTTAAACACAGAAAACAGTAGATACAGAGCAAAATCTAAAAATTTGTGAGCAGTATTATCTGAAAATCCATGTTCGTGAAGTTGTGTTTCACACAGAATTTATGCAAAGCCGATTTGATCACAAATTTTCCTAACATTTAGATGATTTAAGGGATATTTAATAACGGCCGATCATTCATATTTAACCCAATGATTAGTAGTTACGAAATAGAAAACTGCAAGAGTAATCTTAAAAGTACACACACAGTCTTAATTAATGGCACAGAAACACAGCAATCAACTTTTAACTCCGCCCTCAATATTATATGAAGACCGCGTTAAAACCATTTTATATGTTACGAAGGAAATAAAGTGTTACGCCTTCTCTATTTTACGCGCAATTTTCTCGGGTACTTTATTTTACATACAGGGTGTATTACCTGAAACACCGCTCTCCCACCTACTTTATTCGTAAAGATAAATTACTGAAATATACTACCAATAAAATAAGTACTACTGCTGCTTTTAGTGTGCATCTTACTTAAAATTATTTCTTAATTAAATTATTGGTTGAGTGGCATCTAAAAATACTATGTGTAAAAAATCGAGTGTTGCTTAAAACCGCACTGCTGAAGTGAAAACTTCTATGGGCGATCGTAACGAGTTTGAAGTAATATTTATGTTGCATGAATAATATAAATATGTATTATTATAGACGATATATATTACTTGAACGAATCAAGAACAAGACGCACATTATAAAATAAAAAATAATTTATTTTGTAGTATATGCTCGCAAAAATAGCTAGTTTACGAACTGATTGAAGTCCGTAAAATAAGTCTCTCCTTCAAAAAATAGTTATTTTTTGGACTAATTCCTAAACTATAGTTTTTTTCTAAAAAGCAAACTAACCGTTGCTGTTACTAAAAATGTTGTTTGTAACACGTACCTAAAAAAGTTTTTACAGACTCATCTACTATTCCGGACTTCGCTATACGCTTAGTCCATAAACAACAACGATATTTTAGGTACTAAGTACTACTAAAAAAAGAAACAGGCAACTTGCGGTAATTAGAATACGAGATAAGTACTAACTTTTGAATAAAATCTGTCTAAAATTTAAAATAAACCCCATCGATTGTAGTTCCATTTTTTTTTAAATCAATTAAAGGCTTTGATTTCTCTCTTGAAAAACCCACACTCAAATCCCCACTTAAATCCATATTTCCCTGCAAGAATGTACCATTTTAACTATGTTTTAAGTTTTGTGAAAAGATGACTACGTATATTAAGACAACAGGCAACATATAAACCCCGCCCACCCGCCCTGCCTCAATTGTGATGAGCCAAGGGGACGGAGCTTAACTGCAAAATCATTCTTTCTCTACGAAAAATTAAAAACATGTTTTTGAGTATCGTGTTGTTTAAAGAATACTATGTATATCAAGCAAAAAGGCAAAATATAAGCCCCGCCCACCCGCCCCATCTCAATTGTGATGATTTTTTTTAATCGTCGAGAGCCAAAGGAGCGGAATTTAAATACAAAATTCTGATTATTTCTCTACAAGAAATTACTATGTAAGACATATTTTTAAGTTTCATGTTATTCAAAGAATTATATATAGCATTATGTATAATAAGAAACAATTAGAACCAAAGATTAAGCCTCACCCATACCTGCCCTGATCTAAATAGCAATGAAAATTTCATTCGTTGGCGGACCTAGAGGAGGAAAATCCATATTTCTCGACAAAAATTTACCATTTGAAAGGTGTTTTAAGTTTTTAAGAATAAAAAAATCATCACAATTGAGACAGGGTGGGTGGGCGGGGTTTATATTTTGCCTTTTTTCTTAATAAACATAATATTCTTTCAACAACACCATACTGAAAAACATGTGTTTAATTTGTTGTAAATAAATAATACTGTGCAGTTAAGCTCCACCCCCTTCATTTACGGCGAATAAAAAAAATCATTACAACCAAGATAGGGCGGGTGGGCGGGCTTACATTTTGCCGTTTTGGTTTAATATGTGTGGACTCTTTTTCATAACATGAAACTTAAGACATGTTTAAAATGGAAATTTGTATAAGGAAATATCGATTTTGCAATTAGGCTCCGTCTCATAATTACAAAATCCATATTTCCTTGGAAAAATGTACCATTTTGACCATGTTTTAAGTTTATTGTTGTGAAAAGATGCCTACGTATATTAAAAAATATATAGCATAATATAAGCCCCGGCCACCCACCCTATCTCAATTGTGATGATTTTTTTTATTCGTCCTGAGCCAAGGAGGCGGAACTTAACTGCTAAATCTTTATTTGTCTACGAGAACTTAAAAACGTATTTTTGAGCATCGTGTTGTAAAGAAATAAGTATTTTGCAGTTAAGTTCCGCCCACTTGGTTCACGGCGAATAAAAATAATCATCACAATTGCGATAGGGCGGGTGGGCGGGCTATTCATATTTCTCTGCAAAAGTGTACCATTTTAACCATGTTCTAAGTTTCTTGTTGTGAAAAGATGGCTATGTATATTAAGAAAAAAAACAAACAAAATATTAGCCCCGCCCACCCGCCCTATCTCCATTGTGATGGTTTTTTTTTATTCGTCGTAAGACGAGGGACGGAGCTTATTTGTAAAATCCGTATTTTTCTAGGAGTAATTACCATGTGAAATATGTTGTTAAGTAATCATGTTATACAAAGAAAACTAAATGTTCGACCATGATGGGGCAATTTGAAAACTAGTTTAAATGGTGTCTTTTTAAATAAAGTGGGAGCTAAGGACCATTGGTTATTTTATTTTATTTAGAACTAAATGTATTAAATAAAAAAGAAAACCAAAAGAGAAGGTGATGGATTTTTCATTTGTTTTCAGACGCAGGGGCGGGGCGTAGTTGCAAAATCGATATTTCCCTATACAAACTTACCATTTCAAACATGTTTTAAGTTTCTTGTTGTGAAAAGATGACTACACATATTAAGAAAAAAAGGCAAAATGTAAGCCCCGCCCACCCGCCCTATCTCAGTTGTGACGGTTTTTTCATTCATCCTGATCCAAGAAGGCGGAGCTTAACTGCAAAATCTTTATTTCTCTACGAGAAATTAAAAACATGTTTTTTAGTATCGTGTGGTTCAAAGAATACTATATATATTAAGACGAGTTTTAAGTTTCTAAGAACAGAAAAATAATCGCAATTGAAACGGGGTGGGTAGGCGGGGTTTTTGGAACAACACTATACTCAAAAACATGTTTTTAATTTTTTCTAAAAAAGTATTTTGCAGTTAAGCTCCGTCCCTTTGATTCACCGCGAATAAAAAAAATCATCACAATTGAGATAGGGCGGGTGGGCGGGCCTACATTCTGCCATTTTATTTTAATATGTGTAGACTTCTTTTCACAGCATAAAACTTAAAACATTTTTAAAATGGAAAATTTGTATAAGGAAATATCGATTTTACAATTAGGCTCCGCCCTATAATTGCAAAATTCATATTTCCTTGCAAAAACCATTTTAACCATGTTTTAAGTTTCTTGTTATGAAAAGATGCCTGTGTTTATTAAGAAAACAAACAAAATGTCGCGATTGAACAGAGTAGACCTTGCTGTTGCACAAATTTTCATGAGTGAATTGGATGATTTAATTTAAACTTGAATAGGTAAGATGTATCTGGCAACCATTATCATTATTTGTCCATTTTGCTACCCATATTTCTCCAGTAGAAAAAAAAAGAATTTTTACTACGAGATATTTTAAATATTTTTTAATAATTTCACTTTGTACCTCGACGATCTACAATAAAATCTCGGTCATGGTTCGTAAAAAGAGAGCTCTGTGGCATGCATTCAAAAGAACACGCTCACCGCACAGTTATTGAATACATAGGGAATTCTCAAACCAATTGTCATCTGTCATTAAAGAGGCTCGTTTTACTTATGAAAAGAAAATTGCGGGCGATAAGGATCTCAAGCGTCTGTTCAAACTTGTTCGCACTAGCTTATCTGGACCGGTGAAAGAAATCCTTGTCAAAAGTGCATCCGACACAATTGTCAGTAATGCTAGTAGGGTGGCAGATATATTTGCTGAAACTTTTTCAACGATCTTCACGGTAGAACCAACTCTCGGAGGGTCCACGTTGTCCACTCCACCGAATCGAAGATCTATCCAATATATTGATTTCACTTCTGAAAGGCTAGTCAGTAGATTAAGCACTTATAGTCAAAGCTATGAACAGCATGGCTTCTTGACAGGTAAATCCGTCCAATCGAATCTTCTGTGTTGTCTATCCAATTAGACTGCAGAAGTTGACGCTGATCTACCTCTGGAGGTGGTTTATCTTGACTTCTCCAAAGTTTTCGACAGAGTTCCCAAACATAGATTATAGCACAAGTTAGATCATCTCGGAGTGCGTGGAAGGTTGCTTCGATGGATCGGTTCCTTTCTCTCGAATAAAACTTTCCGGGTACGTGTCGGGAATGCACTTACCAAATGAGTTCAGGTTGTCAGTGGGGTCCCTCAGAGATCTGTCCTGGGTCCGCTGTTCTTCACTGCTTACACGGCGGACATCAAAGAAAAGATCATACCAACATGTACTACCTATGTTTGCGGACGACATAAAGCTATATAACACCTGTAGCAAAAACAATACTTTAGTACAGAATCTCCAGACAATCTTAACTTGTCGCAGGAATGTCTGTAGTGTTGACAACAAAGTCCAGCACTAAGACGCACAGTAACACAGTAAACAACCTTTCATGGTCGAACCACGTTGTCTCGGTTACCAAAAGGGCAAATCGCATGTTGAGTAAAGTTTTCTCCAAAACCAATCGTCTGGTTTTTGCCAAGTTAAGTCAGGCATTTGTTCCCGCTCTACCCGAATAAACGCACTAGAGGCCACCCTCTTAAATTGCT